GCGGGGGGGGGGGAGGGGAAGAAGAGGGAGGGACAATCCACTAAAGTTAGTGACTTCCTGCTTCTTTTCCCCAAAATCGTCACAAAAAATTCCATTTTTTCAACCTTTTTACCATCTCCAATCCAAAATACACCCTTCTCGATGGAAACTGCACAACGCACGCTTGACCCTGGTTCAAGGTAGTCAAATCAAAATCCTTTGGATTTGCGTCTTTTTCGTGACAAGGTGGAATCTGCATTGTCGCCCGGAATGAAACTCTTAACTCCCAGAGGTGATCGAATCACGACCCCCCCCCCCCATTTATAGAGTTCCGATACGACCCTCTTCATCATACGTGACGGCCCCACTCATAAATACGACCTCCTACCTCCTTTGACCGCCACCCTATCATAGTTGTTCCTATAGTGTTTGATTCTGAGACCAGTTGAAACACCCCGACTTTGTCCGCTTCTTCCTGAAAACTGCCGCATAGCGAAGAGGGATGCGGGATGTTTTGATTTTGTTCATTTCGTACGTGTTTCCTTAAACTTGTGGCCAAAAATACTGAGAAACTTGCCAAAAATTTATCTCCACCGTTTCCGACTTTTGACCTTTGTCAACTCCATCTACGACCTCTGCTTTCAAAATCAGTAATACAACCTTTCCTTTCTAGATCTCGCGGACGGAGAATTGACCTTGTCCCCGACTAGCTTCGGCTTCTCACTGTGGGTTCCTAAAGCGTTTCCCAAAATATAGTCTATTGAATTGATGAAAAAGCGGCAGTGGAAGAATCCATAGAGTACGGCATGTGAAGCGAAGTTTTAAGCCGTTTTATTTAGCCTTTGCAAGGTCGTTTGTGGCCGCGCTTATATGGGGAATGGACCCCCTCTTTGGCGATATGTTGCTTTGCTAGCGCACTATATCGACCTGCTGATTGTGAGACAGACATTCGTCCTGAAATGGGTTCGGGTGGTATTGAGGTTTATGATGCCTTAGTTCTACTGTAAGGACTATTAAATCGTCACGACGGTCCGCTTCTTGTGTAATTCATACTCTGGAACCTATTGTGGAGCTTTATTGTGATAAAAAATCACCGAACAGAGCCCCGCTGGGTGGTCTAATGGAGATACCATTTTATCATAGTGAATTCCATTCCGTTTGATTCCATTTTAAAATGAGCTATACCTCCTAGAAGGAACGATGCGTCTTGTAGGTGCAATTTGACTGGTGCTCAATCAGCTGGAACGGCATCCATTTCTCCAGCTTCTTTGGTTGTTAGGTTGTTTTCACTTCGCTCTGGTTTTTTTTGTTGGCTCTCGAACAAGCATTGCACTTTCTTCTGGCCACGTTCTCAAATGTGCGTTATCAGTAGCGGGAAGAATCAGTAGTCTACTCAACTTCAACCCGCGTTTCCCATAGCGAAACATTTTGGATCAAATTGCGCTGCGCAATCGTTGACGCTTTCGCTTCCGCTCTTCGTTAACGTTTCGATTTGATCGAAATGCGATGGTTCAGAGTTTAGACCCGTAGAAGGATTTCTTGGACGATTCACGATGAAAAAGCAACCCATCCAAATTAACCTAGGGATGGTGAGTGGTACACGAAAGAAGGAAGAACCATGAGAAACGGCCCAGAACCCGAGAAATGGGACCCCTTCCTTGCCCGTTGATTTGCGAGCATTGATGCGACTCTCATCGCTGTGCCCTCTTCAACATCTGCGCTCTCTCACGCTATCTCGCCCACGCTAAAACCTAGCCGCAGCGGAGCGATGGCTGGTTGGTTGGGCGTGACGTACCCACCGCGCAAGAGTGGCTTTAAGTCGACTTGAGGTTCAACTTTTGGTGCCATCGCGCGGTTCAGTCAGCACCTCAAGGGTCGTGGGTCCTAATACGTGGATCACTCGCTTTCTTTGACTTTCATTTCTAAGTCGTGATTCGTCCTTTAATAGCTCTACGTGACAGGCTCTATCTAGGAAATTCTATCGACAATAGAATTCTTTGCAGGGCAGACTGCCCGCGTAAAATGCTTTTTTCTGGTTCTATTACAATAATGAGGTTGAAATGGTGTAGTGGAAAGTGACGCTGCCTACCACGCGCACGGTTCGGTGATCAAATCTTTGGTCGCACACCGTCCATTGAGCCTTCCATTCCTCCGGAATGTGATTAACCAGACTTGCTTGGGTAGATGAAAACCTTGAATTTCACAACTGTTGGCCCCACAAGTAATGTCTCGGCCAAATCGCGTTTAAAATGCTACTACCATTCTGAATGGAAGAAGTTTGCGTGGCGCATTAAGTTTCCAAACGTAACAATAGTTTTCAAATGAAAGCCCATTTGCAACACATTGTAATGGGTAAACAAAAACGGTGCTATCAATTGACTCGACGATGAAGAAGCGTGGCAAAGAAACTACTGAAAATGAAGAAACAACCGAAATGGCTTAGATTAGACCCTTAGGCCCTCGGTTAGGTCCTTTGCCTGGGCGCTGGGAGATTCTAGGAGGCAAGCACTTTTATAGACATTGGTGCCGAAGCTAGGGGATAACTGTCGGAGGCAACAGAACATTGTGGGAAGTGAGACATATACACCGCTACGGCTGACATGCGTGGTTGCTTGAGGTGCACAAGGTTCCAAGTTCTAAGCCCATAGCACTTTTCTTCATGCGTTTCGAGTCGCGTTGGGGCCTTACCGGCTTAGCAACATTGTCCTTAGGAAGGATTGGTTCGCTGATCTGAGCACGGAATGCACCTTTAAATTCATTTCCATCTCGCTTACCTGGGTAGGGTCACACACCAAAAGGTCGATAATGGAGCTTGGAACTACTATTAGAATTTTTCACTATTAGAAGTTACTATTAGAAGTTTTGAGTAATGAAGTGTTTGTTTTAAAAAAGTCCCAATTCGGCACTAGACAAGATCAATCGAGTGAGTGAAATTTCCACTTTTACTTTTGATAGAAAACTTTTGAAATGAAATTCTTTCAACAGGAATTTGCCGCGTTGCCGTAACACATTATGCTCCTAAATGAAAACCCGACCAGGTCCACGAATCTTCTATCGATTGATTCCATCGAATTTGTTTATCCTACTCAACATTTCACAGACCGCGATCACCCCTAATCACCTCTTTCAGTTTTTCAACGAGGTTTAGTGATTTCATTACCGAAGTGATTGCTAATCAGAAGTCCTACGGGCTTGCTTCAATCACCTTCGACGTTTCTAACGGTTTTTTTTGGCTGAATCTGCGCATTATGTACTTCTTTCCTATTGCTCCAGCAATTTGCTATTCCAGGCGTGCTCACGGCGCTTGTTTTGAACATAGACGGGAATGAGTAGGCTGGTGTGTGCATGTCCTCATCGACACAAAGGCAGTGTTCGCGCTAGAAATCGTTTCAGTCTCAGAAATTGAGGCAATTTCCAGCAGATGAAGCGCGATGGTGGCGTTTTTAGCGCTATGGAAAAACCAGCCATAATCATGGAAATTAAACTCCTGACGTCGTGCCGCTCATATCTCTTATCTCATGAATCTCTGCTCAGTTGCAATCTTCGCATTAGCTTCGAAACTGATCATCTTTCTCGATCTGAAACTGATTTCTTGATCTGAAACTGCTCTCGTAAACATTCTCTATTGAATATGAGCACATGTGTCCGCTTTTCGGTTTTTCCGTAATAATTTGGTAGGGACTGTGCCGTGCCTGGAGGCGCCGGCATCTAACGGAAGCTTTCAGTGAGACGAACCCCGAAACGCAGAAGTCTATGCCTTTCAGCGATTTTAATGGACCTACAGAACCGGAAATATTCAGATGCATAAAAACGCTGAGATGAAAATTGGCTGTCTTGCTTTCATGGAGGTGGCACGCATTCGAAGATTTTACGATTCTTTAAGAAAGTTGTGAGCTTGGCCCATACCTGAGTTTATCGACGCCTTGTATTCCATCCTTTATCCTACGAACCGATATTGTGGCTCATCGTCTCATTTTGAGATTAAGAGCGAAAATCCGGCTTCTGAAGCTTTTCGTTCCGCACACTGGCACGCCTGATTGAGTAAAGTTGCTGTGAGATATGCGTGTAGAATTGGAACGAACAGTGGCAACGAAAGCAAGGCCGCCATCTCTAATCTGAAGCTAGCACAGCGGATTTTGAAGGTGTATATACACTCAAATTTACGCGGATGCTGATAGCCCCATCAAGCCCACGCGGAAATCTTCTCTATCATACCGTAGGTCCCATGGTTTCTAACATTTGGTCTAGCACCTTCAGCAGTTTCCATGTGCGACTCTCAATGAATCTTGGCATGAGTCGTAGAGAATATGTCAGTATAGTGAATAAGCTCCAACCAAGATTGATAACAACTTTTATTTGGCTTACGTTTCGGCGCTTTCGCCTTCTTCAGAGCCTGGAAAGAGGAAAGCCATTTACGAAACTACCCGTCCAAATACTATTTCAACCTACAAGAATCGCTCAGCAGGGGTAAACTACTAGGGCGACGTCGTGGGACAGAAAAAGACAACTAACCTTTAGAAAAGTCGACCAATGAGGTCCACCTGCCACCCTGAGCTGACAGTAATGCGGCTTAAATAGGTGAAGCCCCAAGGTCACTTGCTTAAGGACCCTCCTGAAGGGTTGGCTTTCCTCTTTCCAGGCTCTGAAGAAGGCGAAAGCGCCGAAAACGTAAGCCAATTAATCAACCCCTCAGGAGGGTCCTTAAGCAAGTGACCTTGGGGCTTCACCTATTTAAGCCGCATTACTGTCAGCTCAGGGTGGCAGGTGGACCTCATTGGTCGACTTTTCTAAAGGTTAGTTGTCTTTTTCTGTCCCACGACGTCGCCCTAGTAGTTTACCCCTGCTGAGCGATTCTTGTAGGTTGAAATAGTATTTGGACGGGTAGTTTCGTAAATGGCTTTCCTCTTTCCAGGCTCTGAAGAAGGCGAAAGCGCCGAAACGTAAGCCAAATAAAAGTTGTTATCAATCTTGGTTGGAGCTTATTCACTATACTGACATATTCTCTACGCCGCTTTCCTGTTTCATTCAGCGACATCACCGCCGCCCTCACTTCCTCCATACTTGGCGCCGCCTCGTGTGTTGGTTCCTGTGGCATCTCTATCGGTACTGGCTCTGGAAACGGTTCTGTGGGCAGTTCGTGGCTGTACAGCTCTATGAAGAACTCTCTCCATCTCTGTAAGCGTTCCCTCTCTGACTTCACGAGTTTGCCACTTGCGTCTTTGATGAAGGTTCCGCATGCTCTGGTTTTGCCGCACAGTCTTCTCAGAATTTGATACGGCATGCGATACTCGTGTTTGGATGCCGATTCTTCGAGCTCCTCCGCTACTGCGTTCCAGTAGGCCTCCCTTTCTGTTTTTAGTCTCTTGCGGAGCTCCTTACTGAGTAGCTGATACGTAGTGCCATTCGTCAGCTTCACCTTCCTCCTTTTGTCAACCAACTGCAATGTTTCGTCCGAGATCCATGGTTTAGTCCGTCGGCGCAAAACTGGGCACAGTTGTGTAGCACATTCGGTAATGACTTTTGCAGTCTGCCGTTCTTCCTCGTCCACCGTTCCCACTTCCGTGAACGCAGCAAACTGATTTGACAGTGCAATTTGGAAGCCTTGCTTCACCTCCAGCTTCAAAAGTTGCTCCCAGTCTACTTTCGGTTGGCGTTTACCTCGCTTAGCACACTGTAGGCGGAGCTGCACGACTGCTCGTAGTAGGTAGTGATCTGATCCGCAATCCGGGCCTCTCATTGCACGCACATCCTTTAGCGATGACCTGTATCGAGAATTGATTAGTACATAGTCCAGGACTGCTGAATCGTGACCAGATGGATTTCTCCATGTCAGCTGATGCTTTCGTGCATGCTGGTATAGGCTATTGCCGATGACCAGATCATTGAACGTGGCAAACGAAAGCAGCCGCAAACCATTGTTGTTCATTTCTCCTACGCCAAATCGGCCCATCACAGGTTCCCATCCGGTTCTGTCGGCGCCAGTTCTAGCGTTCTGATCGCCTCGCTCGTGCAGACCTTTGCATTGGTAGAAACGCGGGAAGGCTTCTCTTCTGGACAGCTGTATGTCACTATAGTCGCACTGTGCGTTGAGCTGCTTTATATCTTAGACATTCGTCCTTTCAGTGCCGATCGTGCTCCGGTTCGGCGCGAGGCTCATCGACTGGCTGTCGGGCAGCGTCAGTCAGACGTGCATCTACCTCCTACCTGTGCGGACTTAGCGGTTTCGCCAAAGAAGTGATCACTGCTCATTCTTCGGCGAAGATGGTTGATGTTGAAACCGACACGACGCATTTTTGATTTGCGGTGAGTATTGAGCTATAGAACCCACAGCGCGATTCACTCTGCACTTGTTCTTGGCTCGGCCAGGAGATAAGTACAGCTGTATACACTCATAATCCGTGTCCGTACGTCGATGGACCTGCACTCTTTGTCGTCCGCAGCCGCGATCCTCGCCTGATCGCGTCCGGCGATGGTTCAGAGCTCGCCTTGGGAGCAGAAGCGCGGTGATGTAATTTCAAATTACCTCATGGATCGGTCGTTCAAAGAATAGGAAAGTGGTTTGCCGGTAGTGAGGCTGCAAGGTCCGCAGCGAGGACTTGGTAATAGTGACGTCTAGACGACTTCGTCGCCAGCCGTTTAAAGTGGTGTCTCTGGAAGAAGAGTAACATATCACTGAAAACCAAAATTCGCATGTTCCGGACGCTGGTGCTCCCTGTGCTACTATATGGGTCTGAGACATGGACGTTGCTCAAGTCGGATCTCTCTCATCTCGAGGTGTTTCAAATGCGTTGTCTCCGCCATATGCTCGGGATCAGGCTTCGTGACCATGTCACGAACAACGCCATCAGGGAGAAGTTTGAAGATCAACCCACAATCGAGGAACAATTGAAACTGCGACGGCTACGATGGTTCGGTCACCTGTGCAGGATGGGTCACGACAGAATACCTAATATGCTCCTGTGGAGAAGACGCCCTGCGCAGTGGAAAGTTCAGAGGACGGCTCCAAAAAAGACTTGGTTGAAGCAAGTTGAGGAAGACCTTAGGGCTCTGAGGTGCAGTGTTGAGCATGCTAGATGTATTGCTGCTAATCGACCAGAATGGAGACACTTCATTCAGGGCGTTCGTACTCCAATGGCACCCACAGCAGTGTACTGGTTGAGAGGCCGGCCCCCACCACCAGACGCAAGCTAAGGGATAAGTAAGTAAGTAATAAGTAAGTAAGCTCGCAAGGAAGGATTGAGTTTGTCCTGGGCGTGAGGAGATAGAACACAGCGAGACATTCATCATAAAGGAGTACAAAAGAGGACAAAGGAGCTACATGGTGTAGCGTCCTTGAAAGCACGCGAAATTACGATAGGTTCAGAAGGGGTTTGAAAAGGAGGTTACATGGTGGCTCAATATAACGCCAGTGCGCAAAAAAGTAGAGCAAAATCCTCAATGAAACGCCAAACGCGACCGCATTTTTGATAATCGGTAATTGAGCAGGTAAGCAGAAAGCAGACGTATAATCAAGTTCACCGCTGATTGATGGCACCATGCCAAACCACGCTCCAATCGAGTTGCTCCAGTCGTGCTGCTGCAAACAACGCGGGTCGTCCAAATCGAACTAAAAAGTGGGCGGATCGCTTTTGGGGGCGGAGCGCTTTAGGGAGTCCTGTTCATCAACCAGCGTACCATCGCCGTTAAAAGCGATACATATCGCTTCCCTGGCAGTCAAGTAATTGATTCATATGGTGCATATGCTGCACGATGCGCTCCCTCTTTACCGTAATGGTAGCTGCCTTTAAGAGGTGGGGATGAGGGGGTGGGGTGGTCGTGCTGATCCCGAAATTTGATCAACTGCCACCTTTCAGTCCGAAGCTTTCTCCCTCCCGGTCGACGGAATGTTGGGGATGGAAGGTAAAGGGTTGCATAGGTTTGAGTCCAAAGGAATCTAGCAATCTACCTCCTGTTTCCAAAGGCTGCCCACCAGGGGACAGGGAAATTTTGGGTTAAGAGAATGGGACCGTGAAGCATTCAGGTGACAATATTTTGCTACCAAATCTGCGTGGGCGCATAAGACTGATTCGAGTTTTTGATGGCCTTGGAAGTAATATGTAGGCGAAAGTAGTACTTCTACGATAATTGCATGTGAATGTTGAATGTGTTATTGATCTGGCCGGATTTCCATGTGTTTGCTATGCCATGTGCCGTCTGCAAGCAATTTGTGATCTGTAGTCAATTTTCCAACGAGCTCAATTTGCCATTCATTGCCGGCAGTGTTCATGGCTGCCTAAAGTGCTCTTGTGCCTTGTGCTGCCGCTGCTAACTGACTTCGTTACTACGCGAAAGAACGCCATTTGAATCGACGATGTGGGCATATCGCCACATCGACTTACTGAACTCAACTCTTTTGACGAATAAGTGCGCCAGTGTTGCTTCTGAGCCTTTGGGGAAATCAAAAAGTTACCCGTTTGTGAATTCCCTAAGGGATTAGGTTGAATTTTCTGAAATGGGTTAGTGTCCGAACCTTGGAAATGCGCCAGTATTGGCATGTACTTGATGTTTGGTTCTTTTAATTTAGACAAGGTCATGCTCTCTCGTGGATTCTCCTTGGGGTTCACACTGGGACCGTGTGCTATTTCTTCGGCTTGGGACGCATTTCTGAAGTGGATGGATTGGGTGGCGCAACTCCAAGGTTGCTACGCTTATAGTACGTGACTTCTGGGACGTGTCCTTCAACCCAAAGACTTCGTGGACGCGTTTACTAGCAGATGGGATAGCATGTGGCTCTTGGTATGCTTTAGCACGGGGTCGTACTGGAGGGACCAACTGGGAGGTGCTTTCAGCGATTTCTGAAAAGTAAAGAAGCTGTCAGCAATAGGTTTCAAACTTTCTGCTGCTGAACTCATACTTTCAACCTCCACCATCACCCACCGTTCGTGGAGGTTTTTAATTATTGTAGGGGTGATTTTGGGGAGGGGTATTATTAGCAGAATAAAGGGATATTCCTGGCGCCACATCACTGACATACGTCATAGTGCACTGCACTGGGGATTGAAGTACATAGTGCTGCCCCAATGGTCATACCACGTTGCCGAGATGAGCCCATCAACGCGTCTTATTGCTTATTGCGTCTTGCACGGAAATTGTCTGGCTTCAAGTAATGGGACATTTTTGCCCTTAAGGTTTTCCGGAAGTGCCTACTGTCTTCTTTTCTTCTCCTGCGAGGATATTGTGCGCTACAAACTCTTTCTGGCAGAATTTTCTTCTAATTGGCCAGCGCTGAAAATGCTGGCTATCCATGAAAAGTCGTTCTGAAACGAAATGGATGGTCGGTCACATCAATCTTTCAACGGGTATGGCCCCCGGAGGTTTTCCGCATTTTTGCGCTCGCTCTGACATTACTGCGATATACTCCATGACAAATGCCCATTCTTGAGCCGTGAAATACTCGCCTTCACGAGGGCGGGTACTTGTCAGTCACAGCGCTGTCTTGAACCACTTTTCACGTACCTCTCCGCAGTAGGTGTTTTTTCTACCACAAAGGTGTTAGGAACGGAGTTAACCGCCTTCAGGGCAACTCTTAACAGGGGAGGAAGTATTAAGACTTTTGGAGTTGAGATTACGTACGGGAAGTTGAGGTTTTTTTCTGAAAATTC